ATACCTACTAGGCTAAAAAAATTGCGCTTTTATATATGGAACTGTACCTATATTCAAAGCAATAGAAAACATATAGGTACCTACATTATATCATAAAATAAAAAGTTGTGGTCTACAAATATCTGATAGATTTTATTATTAATATTAGGATGTATGCCACATTTACCTACACCTATAAACCAAAAAAAAAATGCAAGTAGTAATAATTAACTCCATAAAAGTTTTAAGAACAAAACAAAGTCGGCAATGCAAATGGTGTCTACTTTATGTAATAATGACCTCAAGACTGCAAAATGAATTCAAAAAGAAAACTGCTAAGCTCAGGCTACTAAAATATTAAACCCGCAAGAGGTCAAGGCTGTCTACGAGTAGGTCCATTGCCCGTTATAAAACTCTTAAATTGTGACACTACGATGCAATTGAACATTTATGTTACGTTCGTTAATGCTTATTCATAAATATTTTAATCTTATGTAGCTAGCTTATTGGTAAAGACATAACTTCTCAAAATGTATTTTAAATTTACTGACATAGGCCGTAGCCGTATTTTTTTGCCCAAAGAAAACGTTCTAGAACGATAACATTATGTATTTAGAAGTCCATAAAGGTTAATTACAATCACTAGGTTATAAGTTACCAGCTTATATCAAACAAAATGTACTTATCATTTTAAAACTCAATTATGTGGTTCTTCTCAAAATATTTTTAGCGGGCCTACACAGTTTTAAATTGTTTTTTTTTTTCAATTAATAACATCCTTCCATATTTAAGATAAGCATTGATCAGACGGATCCAACATTTAAAGTTATTTTTTAATTACTATTTACGAGAATATTATAATATCACAACACAAAAAAACCTGCATAAGTCTAAGTAAAATGATAACAAACACCGATAGTCACCCCTAAACCATGTTAACCCATAAACATAAGGGTTTTCTTCTATATTGTCGGGGCAGTTTACACAAATTGCTTAAGAAGAAACTACAACATCGCGATACCATCCATTCCATCTGGATCACTGGCGGTCCGCCACTGTGCGATTTAAAAGAAGCTTTCTTTCTCGCACAACTTTCACGTGGAATGGACTACCACCAGAGATTTTTCCGGACCGATACAACTTAGGGATCTACAACAAAAGAGCCTACTCTTTTTTAAAAGGCCGGCAACGCATCTGCAATTGCCCTGGTGTTGCGTTCGTGGGTGGCGGTAATCACTTACCATCAGGTGAGCCGTATGCTCGTTTTCCCCCTCTTCTATACAAAAAAAAACATCCAGAAAAGGAACAATTATCCTATCGCCACAACTCAGTACTTACCCACTGCCACTGCCACAGTGCTCAACCATGGACCCGTCAAATATATATCTACTATTACTAATACTATTTGTAACCTATTGAGTGATTATTTAAAACATAACTCAATATTAATTAATTTTTTAAATAATTGCTTCTACGTGGTAGAGCCGCGTTGCAGCTACGTTATATGTAGCACGAATGGATCGACTCGACCGGGGCAGGACCGATTGATGAGTGTCTACACTAAACCGGAAACCCGCTTTACTGGAAACATTCCATCTTAGTCCTCAGGGGTGACAACGAACCTTCGTTTTGATTCTTAATCGAGGTTAAATGTAGGTGTCTATGGACTACAGCGTTCGCTTACCATCAGGTGGACTGTTTGCTTACTTGTAACCCTTATTCTATATTAAAAAAAATACCAGCTCGCCCGGCAAACGTTATTTTGCCCTTTCCGTTTGGTTACGCGATGAGTTTCATTTTCACACGCGTACACACTTTTGTACAGTACTTATTTAACGTCATACGTATAGCTAAATACTATATAATCACCACAACCATTATGAGAACAAACTTAAAAAAAAAAAAAGAAAAACAATTACCCTTCTTTTTTAGTCTTCCGTAAGCGAATAATAAGTTGCCTATACGAGTATGTTATACACCATCGTTTACTGCCTACACATCAAATTTCTTGGTAATCTGTCCAGAGAACAAATACCTTTTCTACAGATTTGTTATATGTATAGATTAACCTTACGTGTAAATATTGTCCCGAATGAACCACTCTATATACACAGTAATCTATGGAATACAGTGTAGTGTATTAAATCTTATATATAAATATTATAAATAATATTAAATTAATATAAATATTAAATATATAAAAAAAAATTGTAGTAAATCTGAATAGCCGACATAGAAAAGCATTATTTTTATATAAATTATATTAAAGTGTGGTTTGTATGAAAGTTACTAATAATTATATTAATTGATGAGAGTGTTCTAAGAGAAAGATTCTGTTCCCAAGTCGTTTCATTCATAGATTATCGCGCGGCTATCGTGTCGCATAAACATAAAATTAATTGTTTATATCACGATATGTCGGCCGAGATCGCTATCCTGTCGATTGTTCAACGTGAACAAGACTATATATCCAATGATAGAAGACTGGGTATAAGACTATATTATATCCAGTGAATATATAAACCCACGACATTAACTGCGCGAAATTTCACAGAAAAATCCTATCATGTATGACAGTGTTCCATTTTGAAAACTGTTCTATAAATAAATTTTTGATGACAAATAATTGCTTAAAACCTAGACTAAAATTACAAAGACGAGTTTATTTTATGACGATACGATGTTTGATTTTTTAACCACACGTGTACATATAACTGGTTGGATCGGTCGAACTTAACCTTTTTGGCTCTTCTGTTACATCATTCATCTAATTCATAACCCGTGAAAATAAGGGTAACAACCCCATCGGTTTGGATTGGATTGGAACCGTGGTAGCTCAGATAGCTAGTGCTTGCTGTAAGTTTCACAGTACGCGAGTAAACCGGGTTCGATCCCCGCCGGCACCAATGAAATTGGTATTTGCAATTTTAAGTGATGATTTACCACGTGCTCGCGGTGAAGAAAAACATCGTGAGGAAACCTGAATGTCTGAGCAATAAGAAAAAAATATTTCGAAGACATGTGAAGTTCACCAACACGCATTGGGGTAGCGCGGCGGACATTTCCTTGCTATAAAACCCTCTCAGAAATGAGCGAAGCCATTCTCTCCCAGTCTACCATTAGGCTAAGCAAAGATAAGCATGTAAAGGTGGTACAGCAAAAACGAGTGGTAAGATTAAAAAATTTGTACAACCGACTTTAATATAAATAAAATGAGAACATCATCAATGTATTCGCGGTCAATTAACTATGCATTATTAAAGATAACTCAAAAACTACCGATCAGATCTTGATCAAATTGAGACTACATGAGAAGTATCAGCTTTCAAATAAAAGACCTATTATCAAAATCGGTTCACCCAGAAAAACGTTCTGAGGTAACACGCATAAAGACATAGGTACCTACAGTCGAATCGAATCTTCGTTTTTAATAAACTAATAATAAAAAAGATTGTTTATGAAGTTCAAATAAACCAGAATATATATGTCTATAAAAATTGTGAATACTGTGATTATGTAACATGTGTGATTTTTCTACTATAAAATAAAATTTACCTGGCTATCTAAAAAACATTAGGGTTGTTAAAAGCGATTTTACCGAAGATTATGAACTTTATCTTCTTAAAAAAGCTTAATGCAATTGTGTTTAATGGATAATCTATCTACAATATCTTAATTCAGGGTCGACATTGAGCATTGAGCTGAACGTTGACCTCAGTCTAACTTTAAGGATTCTGAAGTTTTTGTGGGTTTCCAACCAAAGGGGACGTTTAAGTTCGTTAAACTTTATATAATTGTGGTGTGATATTATTGAATTTAAGTTCTCAATCACGCATATTATACATGTTATTAATTTTATCGATCCGATTCGAATCGTTATAACAAAAGTTAAAAACGCTCCGATTCCTTGTTTAGTTAAAACTTGCCGAAACAAAACTTATTAGATATTTCAAAAAGCGTTGTAATATAAAAAAAGGAATAACAATTTAACTACATTTTGCGTGGCTTTTGGTTTAACGTAAACAAATTAAAATTCCTTAAAGTTGTTTTAAGACGCGGAAGTAGGTCCCTATCACTGGAACGCAACATTACTTCTGCAATTGCCTAATTAGCATAAAAGAGACGCCCCTTATCTATACGGGCAGGCAGTTTATGAAAACTTTGTTTTATTGCATTCTGATTAGATGATCACGCGTAGCAGCCACGTCGGTTAATTGATATTTTTGAGGTTAGAGGGGACTTGGAAATTGCGTTGCATTGTTTTATTAGATCCATCTTCTATAATTAAATAAAATTACTATCCTTTATAATTTAATTAATAAGTAATTAGTAATAAAATTTATGATTGTCTACGAAATTAATATAAGTACAGAAATATTATTATGAGTTTGCTAATAATTATCTTATTATGTAAAAAAATATTGGTTTGATAAAGGCATAAAACAGATAATTATCTTTTCATTTGATTTTTAAATTTTCATATATCAAAAATAATATTTAATACCTATCATTAAAAAAAAAACTACAAATAATTATTTAGAACTCATAAGTTATTTCGTTTAATTTGTACATTATGTTTAATTTCAAATTCTAACTTTGAAACCACGAAAAAGAAATATTTTGATTTTTAAACAAGACTTTCAACAAGGGTGCTACTTACTTACCTATTAGACTTAATGCTTTATTATTAGATATTATAGTAAAACATCACGTTGAAGAGTCTTAAGGGAATTTGAAAATATTTAACTTATAAACGTAACTTGGTATTGAATGTTACTTAAATTTAAAAAAAAAAACGTTTGTGTTCGATTACTTAACGTAGTGATGCATAAATTAAGATATGCTTATTGGCAGTTAGCTGTCCCACGCCTATTGAAGCTGTACAACATCACTGGAGGCAGCTATAGTCTAAGTACTAGTAACCTACATTTTCCCGCCGGCGCGCACTCTAAATCGCACTGCAACCGTACACGGAAGAACGTAACCTTTGACACCACACTTTCACTTCACATACTACGTACCCTCACAAGTGAACTGGCCGTAGTGCTTGCCCGATGACTTGTCTCCGCAGACGACGCACTCCACGTTCTGCCCTTTATCAGTCGCCGATGATCCGCTTTGGGTGGAAGCGGCCTGGCTCGCGGGTGTCGAGGGCAGAAGTTCGTCCTCACGCCAACTACCGCGGAAGCCAAGCTCGAGAGGCGGGAGGTCGGGGCCTCTCGGAGGGCAAAGCCCCGGGCCGCCGACCCCGCCGTAAACTAGCGCTCCGTGCGTGATGATGCCGGTTGCGGTCGCGAGGCGAGAGACGCGCGGCGCGCTTGTGTGTCAAGGGTCGCGGCTCAGTCGCGACTGAGCTCAGGTCGGGCCAGGCCTCGGCGCACCGCCATTGGCCCGGTGGCCCGGGGGCAGGGAGCGAAGGCCCCGCCACCTCGACCGCGAGACCCCCTCCCCTCCCCTATACCCACCGCCCTCCCCTCGTCGGGGGGCGAAAATCTTTCAGTTAAGTACCGTTGGTAAGAAAAACTGTTGGGCGGACGTATGTTAACAATATTCTTTGTACATACCGGTGACCGTTTTATTTTGCAACTTTTTTTCAGTTCGATTTTCAAATTGTTATTGACTTAAATTAATATAATGCTACGCTTAGGATATTATATATACGGTACATGCAACGCATACGATATCTTATGAGCTTATGATTGCAATGTATTTTTTTATTATTTTACCTATTTATTTTAAAAATATTTTCGATTCGTTTTCAACACATACATCACTAGTACGTATTTAACAGCTAAGAAACGAAATCATTTACGGAACTTGCTTGCTCCAACGGTACCTGAAAATCCTTAGTATCAAGTTCCCGCCGCCTCCATATTTCTGCAGGCTGCCAGCTATTCGCTATACTTAACCATCAACATCGCGCCGTATTTCCTTCAAAGTAAATAAGCACTCAGCCAATGCTCTTGTTAACATTTTCTTTTTTCATCTCGTCATTACCGGTCCAACAAATAAATGAATAGCCATAGATGGAAAAAGATTTATTTATAATGCAACTCGGAAAGCATAAAGTTCTTCTTAAATTATTATTTTACCTTAAGTACTAGTATTAGTACCTACTATAGTAATGGTTTTTATTTTATAGGATAGTACTAAAATCGTAGATTAGGATTTTACTGAAATATTTTATACATTAGGAATAAATAGTAGTCTTAATATGTATTAAAGTAAGATTATTAATTACATTATTGTAATAATGTAATAATCTCACTTTAATAAATTTGACCTTGACAAAAAATCTTAAAAATGCTGAAATACCCAGAATAACAAATAAAATTATGGAAAACAATTTAATATGATCTGTCAGTTGTAACGTAAATTAACATCTAGATGGATCTAGATCGCGCGGGGGGCGGCGCGCGGGGCGTGGCCGCCCGATCCACTCCTGCGCATGTCAATGTCGCCTCAACCACTGCGACCAATTGGAATGTTTTGACACTTCAGCGGCTCTATATTTGCGTAATAATCATCGCTTGTTTTTTTAAATCGCCGTAAAGCCATTTAATAAAAAAAAATTAAATTTGGAAATTGGATAAAAAACATCATATTTATTGAATTAATATTTTATGTCTTTTCATTTCATTTAATATTTATAATCTTTTAAAATAATGAAGAAAATATCATCATAAAAATATATGTTTGACTATGACCTACAACGTTTTCATCGACGTGATAACGTAATTACTATGTGGATATATTTATATATCAGTTTCAAAAACGCAAAGTGGACTGGCTAGCATGTCAATTATATCTTTATACGAATATCGTTTTTTATTTGTTGGACTTCATTTGATCACGCTAAGAAATGAAATTATCACTTGAAATTTAAGACTTAAATGTTTCGTACAAAAATATAATATTCTGAACTGTATGTCAAAATACACTCTGCGTCTTCATAATGCCGTGGAATTAGGTCTTACTCCAAAATCCAGATTAGTTTTGTATGCACTTAGGTATATATATATAAAGATCTAGAATAGGTACCAATTTAAATACCGTAATTGGGAGCCGGGTCAGAAGTGCTTAAAATTCAAGTATACCAAGTGTGGCCATTGTGGCCTCCAGTAGACTGTAGCAAGCTGATAAAGAAGAAGATCCTATGTTAAATAATAAGCAAAAACAGGACTCTGTAATAAATTTTGACTTTAAAGTCTTCTTTGGCGAGAAGTTTTATTATTAGACGTGGAGCATTTGCCATGCGTTACCCACAGTGTCTAGTACTAAGTGAATTTAGCAAAAAATGGTCCCTTTATTATATTATCTCACGATGTTGTTCTAGTCTACATGAGATGTTTATCTCTTGATCATAACTTAAAACTCCATCATTTTTTTTAAATATAGGTAATAACGGTGACAAAGGAGCACACATCAAACTGCAGATGCGTGATCCCCCTTGAGGACTAAGATGGAATGCCTCGTTTCCAGTAAAAAAGGTCTCTGGTTCTCAACATTGACCATACGAAACACAGCAGTATGAAGCTGCTATTTTACGCTGGTATTCTGTGATAGCGTGGTCCTTACATGGTCGAGTCGACCCATTCGTGCTACAAACATATATAATACAGCTGCAAAATAGCCCTTCCACTATATATGAATAGTTTGACTTGTAAAATGTGTTTTCAGTAAAAAAGGTCTCCGGTTCCCTACACTCACAATTAGAAACACAGCAGCATAGAGCTGCTATTTGACGCTGGTATTCTGTGAGATATTTGAACTTTATATAGGTGATATATTTCGAACTTAATTTGCTCTTATACTGTTAATTCATTCGTCCATTATAGCTCATCATAAATCCACTACAGAGCATATCATACGTGGTAGAGCCACGCTGTAGCTATATTATGGTTGTAGCCGTGTGTAGGCTGGACCAGGGAAGGACCACGCTCCCACAGAATACCAGCGTGAAATAGCAGCTTAATACTGCTGTGTTTCGTATGGTGAGTGTAGAGATCCGGAGACCCTTTTTTACTGGAAACGAGGCATTCCATCTTAGTCCCCAGGGGTGACAACGCATCTGCGTTTTGATTGTTAATCGAGGATAAATGTAGATGTCTATGGGTCACAGCATCCACTTACCATCAGGTACACTGTGTGCTCGTTTTTCACCGTTTTTCTATAAGAAATATACCTATCCTATAAATTGCTCATGGGGCTTAATGCGTTTTGTAGGTATCTTACCATTTTTTTATAAAAATATACGTTTCTATATCTTTTACTTAATAAAATTAATGATGCTAAACTTGCAGTTCCAAAGTACGATACATACTCCATAGAATACGATAACGGCACAGAATAAATATTAGTGGTAACGGCCCATTTTTGCGTAGATGCAGGTATAGTGATTCGTAACAAGAAGTTTTTAGATACCCTGTCGTATAGTAACATGACATGTGACAGTGTCACTGTCACTGTGACACTGTCACATGACAGATAAAACAGTTGCTTTATCGTTGCATAAATTTAAAACGCACGAAAACATAATTCTTATTGGGTAAGAAGGGATATTATAAATTAGATAATTAGGTATTTAAAAGATAAGAATGCGTGTACGTAATTAGCTTCATCGAAGTTTTAAATAAAAAAGAAGGAAATTTTCAGATAAATAATTGTAGCATTTGGAAGTGTTTATAACACTATTTTTTCGTAAAAAGCTGAGGTAGATACCTTACCCACACCTTGATAACAATAAACGAGTAAATAAAAATGTTATTTCACTTATTTTCCATTCTCCTGCTTCTTTAGTTCGTAGAACTCTATCATTGGACTTATTTTCCTTTAGCTTCTACATAGTATAAAACGAAGTTGCTTCCCGTCGTCTTTTTGCAACCGATTTTGATGCTGTTTTCATCAAAAGACGAATGATTCCAGACGTATTTTATGTGTATAATACCTGCATATGTTGTCGGGATCCAAAAATCACCCGTGCGAAGTCAGGGCGTATAGCTAGTGTATTATATTAGTGCTGCTTACTAGTTCACAGATGTAGTTAGATACATCTTCCTAGAATGTAGATGTCTATATCTCCAAAAAGCACGAATAAAGCCTTGTATCTTTAAAAACCAATGTAATATTAGTATACGAGTAAACCCACTTAATTTAAACATTTTGTAAGAACTTTATTCGAAACAGTCACATTTCATATTAAGAAGAAGTTTCTTTATCCAGTGACACAGGGTTCCGTTCACCCTGAGAGGTGAAAGTGCGGGGGTGAAGCGTCGGTAAGAGGTGAAAGGGGGTTGAGATAGGGCGGGTCAAAGGTCGCGCCGCCCCGCCCCGCCCAGACCGACACCTACGTCTTTCTGTATATAAATAAATTAGGTCTTGAAGTGTTCCATACGTTAAAATATTATAATGCAATATCTTACATCGAGCTTTCGCTTGACACACGGAGACTGGCCAGAATGAAAGCCAGTTTTAGTTTTAAAAGTTAACAAATATTTTTGTTAAATTCATAGAAATATTGGTACAACTTAACGTATGTTGTTATATATTTATCTCTTATCCATCCGTACATCACAGTCTATAAAAGTACACTTTTTTAATTAGAATAAGGGTGACAAACGAGCACCTGATGGTAAGTGGATGCTGTGACCCATAGACCTCTACATCTATCCTCGATTAAGAATCAAAACGCAGATGCGTTGTCACTCCTAAGGACTAAGATGGAATGCATCGTTTCTAGTAAAAAAGGGTCTCCGGTTCTCTACATTGACTATACGAAACACAGCAGCATTAAGCTGCTATTTTACGCTGGTATTCTGTGAGAGCGTGGTCCTTCCCCGGTCGAGCCGACCCATTCGTGCTACAACTATAATATAGCTGCAACGTGGCTCCACCACGTATAAACACGCCAACCCGCCGGAAACAATCTATTGAAAGGTATATGCGTTACATATACAATTAAATAGATTGTTTCAGGCGGGATTATGCTGTAGTGGCCACGTTTGGCAGGCAGGTTGGCAACCGTAGTTTTTTTTACTATTTTGAGTTGTTACCATGAAGATGCTGCTGTTTACCTCCTGTCCAGTTTCGATCAGTTCCACTTCATAACAAATGATAAATAAGTAAATAAAAAACCGTATAAGAATATCCAATCCCCTTTTCGGCTCGTGGGTGTCGTATGAGGCGGGAACAAACCAGGAGATGGACAACAGCATCTTTCTATCTGCCAAGCACGGCAACTATGGCAACTATGGCAACTACTCCTCCTATAAGGCAATCTGTGGCATGGCCTGTGTGGCAGCAGTGGACTGTCGACAGACTGTGACGGTAACGGCATCCAACTGTAGAAAAGGTGAAATTATGTTTATTGCTTGTTTTAAAGTATCATTGCTTACAAGCGTTGAAGTAGCTGGTTGAGAAATAAACTACCGTCACTCTACGACTTAAGTTTATCAACTGACTTGAAAAAAAGAGGAGGCTCTCAATTCGTCTGTATTTTTTTATGTGTGTTGCCTTAGAATTTTTTTCTAGGTAAATCGATTTTGATGATTCTTTTTTATTTGAAAACTGGTGCCTGTAATGTGGTCCCATATAAATTTTACAAGATCTGACCAGCAGTTTTTGAGTTATCCTTAATAATCCGTATTTAATTGACTAATTGACTTCGACTAATTGACGACGTTCTCATTTTATTTAATATTGAAGTCGGTTGTACAAAATTTTCGATTTTACTAATTGTTTTATTTGTATTTTGTTTGCGCAACTCATAAATACTAGAACACAATAATATACGAATCACACTAGATAACAGCTGATGAAGGAGAGCTAGCCGATTCGATATTCTACTATAAAATTGAATGACGTCTACGAAAAGTCATATCAATGATACGCGATATGACGTTGAGATGTATCATTCTAAAATACGAATCCAACTAGACGTGAGGCTGATCAACGGGGCTAGCCAAGTTAACATTCTACAATCGTGAACGCTAGTAGAAAACTATAAAAGTTAATTAACATCTGAGATAAATCACATGAATAACACGTTCTCTTTAACAGTTCTACTAGCTATATCAGTTGTAGAAAGCAACTTTACCAACACCGTAGTCTCCAAAAAAAAAATGCAGTTATAAAACATGAGTTAAATTTGCCGACTTCAATGAATGTTTTATTAATTGACTTCAAACTAAAGTTATTCACTCCACACATATAGAAAGTGCGACTTAAAAGGTCCGTAGCATTATGTGAACAACGTGTGGCGATAGCGTATGAGTATCCTGGAGTCCTGAAATACAGAGATAGGTTAGTTTCCCAGATACAAGCTGTTTAGGTTGCAGTCCACCGCAAAAACATCACAACATTCTATTTATTTTTTATATAATAAGGTTGACAAACGAGCACACAGTCCACCTGATGGTAAGTGGATGCTGTGGCCCATAGACATCTACATTTATCCTCAATTAAGAATCAAAACGCGTTTAGATACAAGTTAATCAAAAACCATTTCTTTTATCAACTTGACATTTTTTTTAGTTTTTTTGGTCTCATAGTTTTTCGTATAAAATAAAGCCTTAGAACCGTAAAGGTCATAACCATCGCTTCAGTCAGACGGACAGGCAGACAAACATTTTAAAAACGGTTATTTATGTCTTCATCATCATCATTACATCGTTACAGCCCTTCACGAGTCCTCTGCTGAACATAGGCCTCCCCCAAGTAATGCCACAAAGCTCGGTCTTGAGCCACCTGCATTCATCGAATTCCTGAATGTCTAAAAAGGTGGTCACTCCACCTAGGTGGTGATGCCCTATTTTTCGCCTGCTGATATGAGGCTGCCACTCGACGACCTTCCTTCCCCAACGGTTGTCGGTTTTTCGAGCTATATGGTCAGCCCATTGCCACTTCTGCTTACGTCGGCCACGCTCGTTCTACCGCAGATTTATGTCTTGGGAAGTTTTGGCGGGAACTTGGCCGTCGACGAAACTCCTGTTTTGTCGCTTGAATAATGGTTTGAAAAATCTCCCAAAAACTTCGCAATGTGACGCATCATCATATTGTGAAAAAAAATATATAAAATGAAGATTCTGAAAGAAGCTCAGAAGGGCTAGAACCCAGAGCCGTAAAGCCAGTTAAATAAAAAAATCATGTCTTAGTAGCATGCAAATAACCCCTTGAGGTTAACATAAGCCAATTATTTAAATATAACAGAGAAACACTTAAATTTTATTAATATATACATAGATGTAAGTAATATTGAAATACATTAAGTGAAAGTCACTATTATGATTTTAAAACAATTGTTTTAATGTTTCGAACAAAGCCAATCACTGTAAGACATTGTTGATATGAACAAAATTTATTTTCTTAACACTAAACATCATCAGTTCATCTAATATGGATATGGTGTGAGGTTAGAAAGTTCCAAATTAAAGGCACGATGTGGGAATTCAACTTACAAAAGTACTTCATCTTACCATTGATCGGGACGACGGTGTCTGTATGTCGCCGGCTCGTTACACCACCTCTCCGCCCACCCCCGAGTCCCCCCATTTGGGTCGGGCCTGACTGAGTAATTGGGTGCAGGTACTCTGTAAACTTTTTTCAAGGAATCTTTGCAGTCTGTGGAGTCAGTGGAACCGAAACTTTTTATATCTTAGGCAGTCTTCAGTATTTTTATTGGTATTAAATGTAAGTCGTCCAGTATCCACTCCTAAATAATTCACGTAATATTTTTAAAATAATGAATGCTTTCCTTATTTTTTGTTGTACTTTTTTATCAATGGTGAAAAACGAGCACACAGTCCTTTTATACGTGATAGAGCCACGCTGGATCTATACGGGTAAAATGGTTGTAGCACGAATAAGTCGGCTCGATCGGGGTAGGACTACGTAAAATTGCAGCTTAGCACTGCTGTGTTTTGTATGTTGAGTGTAGAGAACCGAAGACACTTATCATTGTAAATTCACTGTTTCATCTTAGTTCTCAAGGATAACAACTGCATTTTGATTCTTATTTGAATATAGATGTAGATGGCTAGGCCACAGCATCCACTTACCATTAAGTGGACAGTGTGCTCGTTTGTCACACATATGCTATGAAACATAGAATCTACATCAGTCTTGAATAGGAATCAAAATAATCTAGCATGAAAGTCAGGGGATCAACTTATCTATAAGTCCCTTATGCTAGCCATGTTGTTACAATTAATCTACGATAACATTGTGTTATGTTTAAGGCT